AGGCAGGCAGGCAGGTGAGTGGTTAGGAGCCAGCGGTCCCGGATTGCAAGGGGGATGTCCGAGGGGTCCCAGATTGGAGAGGGTGCAAGCTGAGCTGAGGGACATCCTCCCACTCATGCACAAATTTCGTGCACTAGGCCACTAGTATTATATTTTTTCTATGTAATTCCATTTCTAAAATCATAAAATTGCTCTTCTATAATTCCATCTAAAATTTTAAGCCTTTTCATGATATATGTAAATTATGGTAAATATAAATTTCATTGTAAATGAAAAAGGTTAAAAAATTCTAATTACTTATGCTTATTCAATCTTCCAGATTTGTTTTAAATATAAATTTTTTAAACTCGATAATCTAAGCTATTAGTCCTGTTGTGTATATCTTTGGAAAAATGTTATATAATCTCAAAATTCAACTCTATTAATGTATGTATTTGAATATAGTGATGGAGACTAGGGAATATAGCTCACTTAAATTGTTCTGAATGTACAAATATTTATTATTACAAGTAATAGACACCACATTTGAGAATGTGAAAGATTCTCTTCACATATGTTCAATATCTTGGGACTTCATTTGGAATATTTTTGTATCATTAATACCAAGAACATCATACATAGTAGATCTTTATTAAAAGTTTACTTATTTAGGGAAAAGGATAGTTAAAATTCTTTGTGATGGTAGTGAAATAAGTTGAAGTTTTAATTAGCTGTTTTTATTTCGATCAGTTTTCTTGCTAACTCTAAAGATACTTACGTATGAATGGATTGTCTTACCATGGTATTTTCCAAGAAGAACAACATGTCTTATTTTATTGTTTTTCAAAATGAGACATAATAACCATTAATTGTTGAGAGAATGAAGAGATGAGTCATGCTAGTAACCTAACATTTAAAAATAAATACTAAAATAAATACTGGCTGGTGTGATTCAGTGGTTGAACATCGACCTATTAACTAGAGGTCATGGTTCGATTCCCGGTCAGGACACAAGCTCAGGTTGCGGGCTCAATTCCTAGACTGGGGTGTGCAGGAGGCAGCCGATCAATGATTTTCTCTCCCTTCATCTCTGAAATTAATAAAAATATTTTAAAAATAAGTAAATACATAAATACTAAAAATGAAGTGTCATTAATATTTTATTTGAACTTGTCTATTAATTAAGATTTTATTTGAACTTTTCTTTATCTCATTTTAAACCCACAAATCAGGGCAAATTTAAATTATAGACAGATATCTATAGCATGAGTTTGGCCAAGTTTTGGAATTATGATGTAATATTTTGAGGCAGTGTACTGCTCTGATAAATGATGCTTATGTATATTAAAATGTCCCATTAAACTCTATTTGAGCTTTAACTAGTGACCTAAATAATATTTCAATAAACAAGCCTATTAAAAGATTCAAGAATTTCCTGAAAATTCTTTCTCCTCTGCCCTGCAAAGATGTTAAAAAGTAATCAGCTGGCTTTCCTTTGAAACTCTCAAGTGCCTTGTGACAAAATAAACTTTAAAGAGAAATTCATAAACTCATTAAATAACTCTTTACAGCTGTTCAAGTTCATGCTTGGCTATTTTTAGCTATGATTAGAAAAAGAAAAACTCAAACTAAAAGTTAAAGCAGACTTTTTGAGAAATGTATTTGATTATAATAAGGTAGAACATAGAAAGAAAGAAAGATGCTTGAAGAATGCAAGTTAATGTTTGGCCATATAACACTATTAGAGAATGATTTAAAAATGAAAATATACATAACACATAGACACAGAGAACAGTGTGGTGATAGCCAGAGGGAAAGGGGTGAGGGGTAAACGGGGGTGGGCAAAGGGGGGAGGGGAAGGGGATGGAAAGAGACTTTGCTTTGGGCGATGGGCACATGATGTAGTGTGCAGATGTTTTGTTGAGTTGTACACTTGGAACCTGTATGGTTTTGCAAACCAATGTTACCCCAACAAATCCAATTTTAAAAAGTGAAAATATGAGTTTGATCGTGAATTATAACATTTATTTCCTTCCAAAAGTATGGAAATATTCTGCATGATTTTCCTACGGAGAGATTTAAAAATTCAACAGTAATAACTGTTTTATGTTTTTTCCTTTTAGGAAGAAGGTTTGATTCTCGACCCATTAAGATTAAATGAGGAGAAACTCCATCTAGACTGCTCTGATTTATTCGAGAACAGTGGTTCCGGAAACTGTGCAATGAGACCTGGGCTACGACAGCCAGTGGGACACCTGCCTTTGGAGGATGGAGTGCCTGAAATTTCCACTCTGCAGGAGCATTTGGATGAGCTCCAAAAAATCCTTAGGAAAGAAAGGGAGTAAGTATGACAATGATCAGTACAATCGTCGTCTCCCTTAACCAAGTCTGTTTTTCAACTTTCTTAAAATTAAGCAAGCTGGCCATTTGATAATGCCTTTTACCCATGATTAGTCATTATGTTCTAATATTTAAAAGATGAGTTTTCTATGCTACATTCATTTTTTAAAATTTTGAAGAGTAATGTATAATTTATTAGTTTTTATTCTTTCATCATAACCTTGTACTCATCAGCTCTGGTAGATTTACCTTATTAATATTTGAATTATTAGTGTATATGGTTAAAATAGCCAGTATATTATCAATACACTGAGTCAGTTTGTCTCTTAGATTAATAAAATACAAATTACGATTTTGTGAGCTATTAATCACAGAATAAGATGCCTTACTCGTAGACCATTTTTGGTATAGAGGAAAGAGCACTAGACTTGAGATTCAATGATCTGGGTATTCATCTCGGTTCTGATATATTTTGTTCTTTCATATTTACTTAGCCAGTAGATACTATTTTGTCCTTGGGAAAACTATGCATAATGATGCTTATATTCCAGTTTTCTATTGTTTAGTAACAGAACTTCCCAAACAACAATCACCGTGTGTCTATTCATGGATCCGGAGCACACTTTCCTGTGTGTGGCATCAGATGGGAGAGCTCAAGGGCTGGGGGCTGAAGCCATCTGAAGCCTCACTCACTCTGAAATGTGGCTGATCTTAGTTCTCACCTCGGGCCTCGTGGTAACACCTGCATGTGGCCTGTCTTATCCATATGGCTTCTTGGCTTCTTCACTGCATAGGGCTAGGTTGCAAGTGAACATCTTGCAGTGGTTCTCAACCTTCTGGCCCTTTAAATACAGTTCCTCATGTTGTGACCCAACCATAAAATTATTTTCGTTGCTACTTCATAACTGTAATGTTGCTACTGTTATGAATCGTAATGTAAATATCTGATATGCAGGATGGTCTTAGGCGACCCCTGTGAAAGGGTTGTTCGACCGCCAAAGGGGTTGCGACCCACAGGTTGAGAACCGCTGTCTTAGAGGCTCAGTGAGAACTATATAGTGTTTTAATGACCTTGCCTCAAAAGTCACTTAACATCACTTCATCATACTTACTGGTGGAGACAGTCTCACAGGCTGACGAGTTCAAGGAAGAGGAGTTCCCTCAATGGGAGGAGGGCATAAGTCCAGTTATGACAAGAGCATGTAGGATTCTACCATTGTGGCCGCCATCTTTGGAAAATGCAATTTGCCATTTGCCTTACTCACTGAATTCTTATGGATCAAACACAAATAAAGTCTGGGAAACTGACCACTATTATGAATTACTCCATATGCTTATATTGTTCATATTTGAAGGGAATATTTATAGAATATTTGATGCATGTTAAGATGTGGTTCCCAAATTTAAAAACATTTTCCCATCTCTTTAGTTATAACTCTTTTTTTGTTATAACTCTTAATAAGCAAAATTTTAAAAAGCTGGGAAATATATATGTATATATATATATATACACATATATGTGAATACAATTATTATATGATGGTTTCAGTTTCCATGGTTTAAATTAATTGAAATAGTAATAAATATACACACAAACCTTTCACAAATACTGTACAGTATTTTATCTGTCATTTCTTTTCTATCTATGATAAGTTTCTTATTAGTCCCTCTGATATTTATATTACCACTAACTTCTTTAGATTCTTGGTCTCTACTTCACTACATGAATAGATTGTGATAATATAAGCATCTGTTTATAGAATAAGTATTTATTATTCTACAGTTAACTGTACATTTCTAATAGAGGCAATCAACTTGAGTAGAAAAGTAAATAAAATTGAAGTAATTTTTAGACTGTAGGTCTCCATCAAGTTCTAAACTCTGTGTTTTATTTCTTGAAGGATTTAACTTTCTAGGGGTTATAGACTTCTCTCAAACCCACACACAACGGTACTTCACTGCCATAATGGGAGCATGAAACTGTATTTCCTCGAGGTAAACTTCCTAAGATGCAGCTTTGATGATACCCATGTGTATCTTTACTCTCTCACTCACACACGTGTACATGAAAATATATATTTGACTTCCTTGGAATAAATGAACTACCACCATAAAAATAAATTCTCCAGTTCTCAGCAACTCCAATATAAAAACCCCACACAGGCCAAAGAATAAGGGGGAAGGGGCCCTCAGTATCCAGTTTGTCTTCTCACTCTCCTCTTTACGGAACCCTCCCATGGGTGTTGTGTCTATGAATCATCATTAGCTTGCAATCCACAGGAGGCCATTGCAAAGACTTTTCTCTGTCAGGAGAATGTTTCCCAAGGATATAGCATATACTGCTGCTATAAATCTGTCTAGTCTTTTAAATTCCTCCCCCTGGAATATCAGCAAGTGGGTGGCTGGCGTTGAGAAGATGTGAACATGGTTTTTTCTGTGTTCCCAGCTGGTGGGAAAATTCTCCAGACGGGAGCACAGGCATCAGTGGGAGGATTGTGGGAATCATTCCCACCGTTACCACTGACGAGGAACTGCTCCTTGAACACGCTCAATTCCATCACATTATTGTACTCATAGTACTGTTCAGTTTTCTGTGCAATTATCCAGTATCTGAGATTTGCCAAAAGCCCGTGCTTTTGGTGTTGAATTAAGAAAATCATTGCCAAGACCAATTCCAGGAGCTTTTCCCTGTGTTTTCTATCAGGAATTTTATAGCTTTAGGTCTTATATCTAAGTCTTTAATTCATTTGAGTTGATTTTTGTGTACTTTTGCCATTTGTCATTTCCCAGGATCTATTTTGTGCTTAGGTGGTTGTCCACCTAACGAGACAGAGTCCATTTTCCTGAATAGTCTACAAAAAAGGCTAGAAAGTTTCTGTCTCGGTCTGTCTTCCAATTAGGGTGCAGACATTTGACCTGGGAGCAGGTATTCAAAGGTAGCTGCCTGTCTTCTTAGCAAAAGCTGATGCTCCAAGGAAGAAAGCACCCGATTCCCTCCTGGTGAGGAGGAAGGCAGTGGTGGTGGCTACATCTTATTTCCCAAGGAGTAGTGGCCTCTGGTCTCTGTTGACACCATCCTGTGTGCCCAGCAGTTGATACTGAGGTCATGCTGTGCTCTCTGTACTTTACTGGGGGCCTTGGTGGGTGTGGATGAGAAGATTTCAATAGCTGTTTGTTATTTCTCACTTCATGGGATCCCCATTTCCTTCTCTGACTCTCTTAGAGATTCTTTGAACTATTAATATTCTTTTCCTGCTTAAATTGGCTAATCCTATATAATACAAGGCTAATATGCAAATGGACTGAACGGCAGAACGACCAGTCACTATGATGCTCACTGACCACCAGGGGGCAAATGCTCAATGCAGGAGCTGCCCCCTGGTGGTCAGTGCGCTCTCACAGGGGGAGCGCCACTCAGCCAGAACCCTGAGCCGGCTTACAGCTGGCAAGTGCAGCGGCGGTGGCGGGAACCTCTTCTGCCTCTGCAGCAGTGCTAAGTATGTCCAACTGATGGCTTAGGCCTGCGCCTGCTGTCAACCGGACATCCCCCGAGGGCTCCTGGACTGCGAAAGAGCGCAGGCTGGGCTGAGGGACGACCCCCCCCCCAGTGCACGAATTTTGTGCACCAGGCTTGTAGTATGAATATATATGCTCATCAGACACAATTGATACCAGGAAAGAGTACTGGCAAGAGGCAGGGAAGGTGACAGGCAAGTGGGGAAAGTACTGGCAAGAGGCAGGGAAGGCATAGGGTTTTCCCAGGACCAGTTCGGTGGCATGAGAGTGGATTTTGTTCCTGGAGGCATCACCTCCAGCTTTGGTCTCTGGTCCTCCCCATGTCTCCGAGAGCTTTACAATATTTTTTAAATATCTGTTTTCTAATTAAATGAACTATATATGGCTTTGTCTATTTGCTGAAAGGTGCTGACAATGAAAGATACTGAAGGGTATAACTATAAATAGTTGGGAATGCAATCAGGAAATGAAAGTATATGTATAAAATTTTTTATTATTCATTGTTTAATACTTAGCTTAAATTTTGGACTAATAGAAAAATGGATATCTAAATGTCATTGAAAGTTAATTATTTTTGTCTGGTACAAACATTTGACATTTATAGGCCTTTAAGAAAATACTGATTTAAAAAAAAAAGAAAATACTGATTTTATATTTTACAATAAATTATCACACAGTTTATAAATGATTAATATTTATTTCAAGATATTAATGTTTCAGGAATTTTCATCTCTAAAAAGTATTTTATTTAATCTTTCTGTTTAGATGTCTGAATGTTATGTCCAATTATTATGGGATCATGATAGTTTACAAAGTACCAAAAGGTTGCATAGAAATATAATAGTTTTCCATAAATCAGTGATGGCGAACCTACGACACGCGTGTCAGAGATGACACGCGAACTCATTTTTTTGGTTGATTTTTCTTTGTTAAATGGCATTTAAATATATAAAATAAATATCAAAAATATAAGTCTTTGTTTTACTATGGTTGCAAATATTAAAAAATTTCTATATGTGACACGGCACCAGAGTTAAGATAGGCTTTTTCAAAATGCTGACAAGCCGAGCTCAAAAGGTTCGCCATCACTGCCATAAATATTATTTTGGTTTACCTTTAATCTTTTGTATTCTGGAAATTGTATACATTTTAGCAATCTTATTTTTAAAAGTTTATATCATCATATTAAATACTATATTTTTGCTGAGTTCATCTTAATTTAATATTTTTAAAGAATTTGTGCATAAAATATGCAGTATTTTCAGTGTAAAATTATATTTTTTTCTTTTCCTTCTTATAGTTCAAGTAGTATGATAGCTTAAACTTAACTATGTGTGTAATCAATTATGAAAATCTTTATAAAATGCAGAGTACATTGATTAGGCCAGAAAATGAAGAATTTAAAGAGCACCCTCTGTTATATAAAGTTAAGTATGCAATGTCCTTAATGCTTGCTTGCAGAAATAGTCACAAACCTTTTGATGAGGCTATCCTAAAAATATTCAAGTATCACATTGCCATTCATTTTTATGAATTACCTGTCCTGTCATATCTTTGACTAAATTTTACCTTTTTACACAATAAAAATACAAAATTTTCATGTAAACAAACAATTATTAGTTATTTTTTTATATACACTGAGGAATAAATACACTATATTTAAGTACAGTAAAACTTCCATACAGACTAATTCAGGCCAGTGGCTGTCCATTAAAGCTGAAAGTCCATTATGTAATAAAGAAAGTTTTTCCAAATATGTATGTTAAAAAATTGACAAATTAGTTAACCGTTTTTCTACTTATGTAGACACGTTTGTGTAATTAAAATTATGTATGAAAAATTTAATTTTACACAAGCGTTTTCTATCTCTATTACTATACGACTTTGAACTTGTAAATTTAAAAATCTAGATTTTTCTCCAATTATCAAGACCAGTTTTTAATTATTCTATTTATGAGTAAAATAATTCTGAAAATTATTTTTAAGGAGAAAGTTTATTAATGTATTCATAAATACACAAATACAATTAATATCCTTTAATAAAAATTGTTAATGTTTTATATATACTTATTTCTTTAAACATTTTTAAATTCTGTAGGAAAAAAACATTCCCATGTTATATTCTTGTTGCTCCAATAAATTAAAATACAGGAGAAAGCAGACAGAAAGTCAATTATTTCAATACTGGCAAAGCTATATGAAATATATCTAACCAACTGTAAAGCTAATTGACAGAATAATAAATTAGAGTTTATTCAATATTTATAATTTTTTCATAAATTTAAAAAGGTTTCCTGTAATTACTATGATCATATATAAGGTAAATATAAAAAAAATAGAAAAAGAGCACATCTAATTTTGAATGCATTACTAAAATTATTTTTAAATTGTAAGCCTGTTTTGCTTTTAATTATTTAGAATGCGCTCATCCCTGGAAAAAGAAGTAGAACGACTGGAGTCAGCTGTGTCTTTGTGGAAACAGAAGTATGAAGAACTGAAAGAATCGACATCCAAAAATAGGAAAGAGGTATGGAGACTTAGGATGTAAAGGAAGAAATGAAACTGAGGGTTCTCTCTGGTCCATGTGTAACCTAGGGGGCCAGAAGCCTCTATAAACAAAGGAAAAAAGGTTAAAAGTGGAATTTCCTCTATAAGAGGAATGTTGGAACTCACATATCACTGGTGGACTGGTCAAACTCGGGTCATAAGAAATCTTGTTCTAAATAACACACACACACACACACACACACACACACACACTTAGAGAGGGAGGGAGAGAGAGGGAGAGAGAATATATATACACACACACACACACACACACACACACACACACACACACACATACAGTCACATATAAACCACATGTCTGCTGACAGCTGTTTGAAGAGCATCTAATTCAGTGATGTAATTGTGCCTTAATTAAAAGCACTCTTCATTAGTTGTTATAAAAGCAATATTCTTCTTTATGAAATTCCCCATGAATGCTGTTTCAGGTCTGTTTCCAGCAAGTGGTAAAGTTTAGAGTCATTAACATAAGTTCGCAAATCCACACGATGGGATGTTCAGGAACCTTAGGTGGCAGAATAAGCCTTACTTCTTGTAAGACACAGGCACCCTGATGGCCAGAAGGCACGGTAACCTCTGTGCAGAGGTTCAGAAATAAGGCAGCTCTGTCACCCTGAGAACCACTGAGATTAGAAAGGAGGGAGAACTTTTCCTAATATTCTTAACAAATGTTGCCTGCTTGAAAATCATCTACTAGTATAAGGAAAAATAATTTCAGTGAGAACTACAGAAAGTTAATTTGAGAACATTTCTCAATGAGGTGTAAATTAAATAATTAAAGCTAACCAGCTATTTTTAGATTATTTCTCCCTGATGGATGTAGGTGTAAATTAAATAATTAAAGCTAACCAGCTATTTTTAGATTATTTCTCCCTGATGGATGTGTGTAAAAATTAAATAATTAAAGCTAACCAGCTATTTTTAGATTATTTCTCCCTGATGGATGTAGGTGTAAATTAAATAATTAAAGCTAACCAGCTATTTTTAGATTATTTCTCCCTGATGGATGTAGGTGTAAATTAAATAATTAAAGCTAACCAGCTATTTTTAGATTATTTCTCCCTGATGGATGTAGGTGTAAATTAAATAATTAAAGCTAACCAGCTATTTTTAGATTATTTCTCCCTGATGGATGTAGGTGTAAATTAAATAATTAAAGCTAACCAGCTATTTTTAGATTATTTCTCCCTGATGGATGTAGGTGTAAATTAAATAATTAAAGCTAACCAGCTATTTTTAGATTATTTCTCCCTGATGGATGTAGGTGTAAATTAAATAATTAAAGCTAACCAGCTATTTTTAGATTATTTCTCCCTGATGGATGTAGGTGTAAATTAAATAATTAAAGCTAACCAGCTATTTTTAGATTATTTCTCCCTGATGGATGTAGGTGTAAATTAAATAATTAAAGCTAACCAGCTATTTTTAGATTATTTCTCCCTGATGGATGTAGGTGTAAATTAAATAATTAAAGCTAACCAGCTATTTTTAGATTATTTCTCCCTGATGGATGTAGGTGTAAATTAAATAATTAAAGCTAACCAGCTATTTTTAGATTATTTCTCCCTGATGGATGTAGGTGTAAATTAAATAATTAAAGCTAACCAGCTATTTTTAGATTATTTCTCCCTGATGGATGTAGGTGTAAATTAAATAATTAAAGCTAACCAGCTATTTTTAGATTATTTCTCCCTGATGGATGTAGGTGTAAATTAAATAATTAAAGCTAACCAGCTATTTTTAGATTATTTCTCCCTGATGGATGTAGGTGTAAATTAAATAATTAAAGCTAACCAGCTATTTTTAGATTATTTCTCCCTGATGGATGTAGGTGTAAATTAAATAATTAAAGCTAACCAGCTATTTTTAGATTATTTCTCCCTGATGGATGTAGGTGTAAATTAAATAATTAAAGCTAACCAGCTATTTTTAGATTATTTCTCCCTGATGGATGTAGGTGTAAATTAAATAATTAAAGCTAACCAGCTATTTTTAGATTATTTCTCCCTGATGGATGTAGGTGTAAATTAAATAATTAAAGCTAACCAGCTATTTTTAGATTATTTCTCCCTGATGGATGTAGGTGTAAATTAAATAATTAAAGCTAACCAGCTATTTTTAGATTATTTCTCCCTGATGGATGTAGGTGTAAATTAAATAATTAAAGCTAACCAGCTATTTTTAGATTATTTCTCCCTGATGGATGTAGGTGTAAATTAAATAATTAAAGCTAACCAGCTATTTTTAGATTATTTCTCCCTGATGGATGTAGGTGTAAATTAAATAATTAAAGCTAACCAGCTATTTTTAGATTATTTCTCCCTGATGGATGTAGGTGTAAATTAAATAATTAAAGCTAACCAGCTATTTTTAGATTATTTCTCCCTGATGGATGTAGGTGTAAATTAAATAATTAAAGCTAACCAGCTATTTTTAGATTATTTCTCCCTGATGGATGTAGGTGTAAATTAAATAATTAAAGCTAACCAGCTATTTTTAGATTATTTCTCCCTGATGGATGTAGGTGTAAATTAAATAATTAAAGCTAACCAGCTATTTTTAGATTATTTCTCCCTGATGGATGTAGGTGTAAATTAAATAATTAAAGCTAACCAGCTATTTTTAGATTATTTCTCCCTGATGGATGTAGGTGTAAATTAAATAATTAAAGCTAACCAGCTATTTTTAGATTATTTCTCCCTGATGGATGTAGGTGTAAATTAAATAATTAAAGCTAACCAGCTATTTTTAGATTATTTCTCCCTGATGGATGTAGGTGTAAATTAAATAATTAAAGCTAACCAGCTATTTTTAGATTATTTCTCCCTGATGGATGTAGGTGTAAATTAAATAATTAAAGCTAACCAGCTATTTTTAGATTATTTCTCCCTGATGGATGTAGGTGTAAATTAAATAATTAAAGCTAACCAGCTATTTTTAGATTATTTCTCCCTGATGGATGTAGGTGTAAATTAAATAATTAAAGCTAACCAGCTATTTTTAGATTATTTCTCCCTGATGGATGTAGGTGTAAATTAAATAATTAAAGCTAACCAGCTATTTTTAGATTATTTCTCCCTGATGGATGTAGGTGTAAATTAAATAATTAAAGCTAACCAGCTATTTTTAGATTATTTCTCCCTGATGGATGTAGGTGTAAATTAAATAATTAAAGCTAACCAGCTATTTTTAGATTATTTCTCCCTGATGGATGTAGGTGTAAATTAAATAATTAAAGCTAACCAGCTATTTTTAGATTATTTCTCCCTGATGGATGTAGGTGTAAATTAAATAATTAAAGCTAACCAGCTATTTTTAGATTATTTCTCCCTGATGGATGTAGGTGTAAATTAAATAATTAAAGCTAACCAGCTATTTTTAGATTATTTCTCCCTGATGGATGTAGGTGTAAATTAAATAATTAAAGCTAACCAGCTATTTTTAGATTATTTCTCCCTGATGGATGTAGGTGTAAATTAAATAATTAAAGCTAACCAGCTATTTTTAGATTATTTCTCCCTGATGGATGTAGGTGTAAATTAAATAATTAAAGCTAACCAGCTATTTTTAGATTATTTCTCCCTGATGGATGTAGGTGTAAATTAAATAATTAAAGCTAACCAGCTATTTTTAGATTATTTCTCCCTGATGGATGTAGGTGTAAATTAAATAATTAAAGCTAACCAGCTATTTTTAGATTATTTCTCCCTGATGGATGTAGGTGTAAATTAAATAATTAAAGCTAACCAGCTATTTTTAGATTATTTCTCCCTGATGGATGTAGGTGTAAATTAAATAATTAAAGCTAACCAGCTATTTTTAGATTATTTCTCCCTGATGGATGTAGGTGTAAATTTTCCACTCAGCCAGCCTTCCTGTGGTTCTGGATGATGTCTGTTTTGTCTTTTAGTTGTATTTTTGAAGTGGTTGTGCGAGGCAGCAATTTCCGGTGTTTACTGTGCCACCGTCTTGGTTTCTCCCTGGGTATTATTTTTAAAACTATCCCTTTCCACTTCCTAAAAAGGAATTTGTGCTATTCTTAGGGCCTTTGTAAAGAGATGTGGTCTGCACATATATTTAAATTATTTTTGTAAAATATTATACCTTTTTTAAAAACTTTAAAATTGGAATAAATAAAAATATTTAATCACACATTATTGTTCATATATACTTTGTTTAATCTATAATAATAAAAGTATAATATGCTAATTAGACTGGACAGCTGAATGACCTTCCAGATGTCCTTCCGGACCACCTTCCAGATGAAGCCAGGGCTCTGAGAGCCGAGTCCCTGGCATGAATTTTGTGCACTGGGCCTCTAGTTGTTTTATAATAGATGATAACAGAACAAGATTTTTATGGTACATTTAGAAATGGCATTTTAAGGTAATTATAATTGTGAAATATTCAAAGTTCTTGTACAGTTGACTTATTAAAAATTGTGTCATGATACATCCTTTGTATCATACTTCATATGAATTCTCCTTACTTAACTTCATTTCTCAAAAATTTTGAAAATATCCTTTGCTTTCACTGTAGCTCTTCATCTACTGTACAAAAACATTTGAATACAGTGTAATTCTTTTTTAGATGCTGAAACTGTTAGAAGCAACAGCATGCCTGGCTAGGAACTGCTGATGGAAAGATTAATTTTTAGGAGTTGGAAACCGATGTGTTTAATAGACCAAGATTTTTAAAATGTATTTGAAAGTCTGGTATGCTTCAGAGGGAAGTTATTCTTAAATCACTGACATGTAGAGAAGAGTAAATATAGGAACTTAATTGTAAAATCTAATAAGTATTTAAAATGCAACTCAGACAATGAGTAGCAGAGATGATTACATTGAAAATGATATTCCCATGCTGACTTTAATACTTATTTTGCTTTTCCTTTGCAAGTCTGTAAATATTGGTTTGGGATTAGATGATGAGTTCCAAGTGTGCTGAAATGATCATTTTTTATGAAATCTCATCATCTAGAAAATCAAATGTAAGTGATAATGATACAAATAATTTTTATACCTAGCTTTGATGGTAAATGACTGATTCTTTCCATAATGGAAATATATGTCTGTTACCACATGCAGAGAACACTGCTAACATTTAAAAACTGGCGTCAAGCTGAAATGAAATGTAACTTATTAATCTTCTTTGAAAATGTTATGCTTTTACCTGATTTCTTTTTAAGGATTTCATTGAGAAGTCTTCTGTTTGTGATAATACATTGTTTCTAGTAGTTCATAACTTACACCATGCTTTTATAAAATTTTATAGTAAATACTTATTATGGTACTAACAGCTGACATTGAAGCCTTAAATACCTCATGCATCTTTCTGATTTGGGGGAAATAAGGAGGTTAGTATTAGGAATTAGATGTAGCTAAAACTCTACATGGATACCTTCACTTTGAAAAAAAATGATGTCATATGGGAGCTATTATGCAAATGACATGAGGGTGGACAGGAGGAGGTCTTGGAAGATACATGATTCCTCTCTTGCTCCTCCTCCCGTCCCCCTTTCCTTCCTCTTCCCCCTCCCCCTCCTCCTGGTTCTCAGACCTTCAGACTCCTACTTAATACAGTACCAGCTTTCCTTGTTCTCCAGCTTGCAGACCACAGATCGACAGAACCTGCGACTTCTGGGCCTTATAACTGCAGGAGCCAGTTCTTATAATAAACCTCAGTCTCTCTCTTAATATGTACAGGGCGTTCCCCCAAAAATGTGTACACACTTTGAAAGAGTATAAAGTCAGCGTTCATTAACATATAGTCCATTTTTAAAATGTAAAAGAACCTACAGAAATGAATAACTATTTTTGTCAATGTGTTTTCAAACTGATGACCATTCTGGTCCAGGCACTGCTGATAATGCAAAGAAATGGAATTGCAAACATCAAGACCTATGTAATACTTTCAACAATAAAGATTTTAAAAATAAATTAAATAAATGAATAAATAAATGCAGGAACTAAAAAAAGAATCATTTTGTTCAGTATTTGTACACCCTCAACTCATTGACTGTTGCTGGTTTTGCACTGTAAACTTTAAATTTTATGTATTCCCATAAAAAAAGTCCAGTGGCACTTCAGGATACATTTTCTCCATTCAAAGCTTAGTCTGGCTTCACACATTATTTCAAGTCAGTTAAACCTGAAAAGGAGTGAAAATTGAGTTATCAGCTGTTAAAGTGTGTATACATTTTTGGGACTATATATATATATATATATATATATATACACACACCCAGTGGGGTCTCTCAGCCTGGCCTGTGGGATCGGGCCAAAACCAGCTCTCCGACATCCCCTGAGGTGTCCCGGATTGTGAAAGGGTGCAGGCCAGGCCAAGGTACCCCACTGGTGCACAACTGGGGCTGGGGAGGGACACAGGAGGTTGGCCAGCTGGGGAGGTACCGTGGGAGGGCTCCAGGGCAAGCTAACCTACTGGTTGGAGTGTCTGTCCCATGGTGGTCAGTGCACGTCATAGTGAGCGGTTGAGCAATCTTAGCATGTCATTAGCATATTACGCTTTGATTGGTTGAAAGGCCAACTGGACGACTAGACACTTAGTATATTAGGCTTTTATTATATAGGATATACATATATACTAGAGGCCTGGTGCACAAAAATTTGTGCACTGGGGAGGGAGGGGGAGGTCCCTCAGCCTGGCCTGTGCCCTCTCGCAGTCTGGGACCCCTCGGGAGATAAGGACTTGCTGGCTTAGGCCTGCTCCTGGGTGGCAGAGGGCAGGCCCAATCCCTAGGTGCAGCTCCTGGTCGGGCTCAGAGCAGGGCTGATTGGGGAGTTGGGGCTCGGCCCCCTGTCATGCACAGAGCAGGGCGGATTTGGAGTTGCGATGCCACCCTCAGTCACGCTCAGGGTAGGGCCGATTGGGGGGTTGGGGCACCGCCCCCTGTCACACTCAAGGCAGGGTCGATGGGGAGGTTGCGGCGCCACCCCCTGTCACGCACAGAGCAGGGCCAATCAGGGGGTTGGGCACTGCCCCCTGTCATGCACAGAGCAGGGCGGATCGGGAGGTTGCAATGCCACCCTCAGTCACGCTCAGGGTAGGGCCGATTGGGGGGTTGGGGCACCGCCCCCTGTCACACTCAAGGCAGGGTCGATGGGGAGGTTGCGGCGCCACCCCCTGTCACGCACAGAGCAGGGCCAATCAGGGGGTTGGGGCACTGCCCCCTGTCACACTCAAGGCAGGGTCGATGGGGAGGTTGCGGCGCCACCCCCTGTCACGCACAGAGCAGGGCCAATCAGGGGGTTGGGGCACTGCCCCCTGTCACACTCAAGGCAGGGTCGATGGGGAGGTTGCGGCGCCACCCCCTGTCACGCACAGAGCAGGGCCAATCAGGGGGTTGGGGCACTGCCCCCTGTCACACTCAAGGCAGGGTCGATGGGGAGGTTGCGGCGCCACCCCCTGTCACGCACAGAGCAGGGCCCATCAGGGGGTTGAGGAGCTCCCCCCTGTCACGCACAGAGCAGGGCCCATCAGGGGGTTGGGGAGCTCCCCCCTGTCATGCACAGAGCAGGGCCCATCAGGGGGGTTGGGGCGCCACCACTGTCACACTCGGGGCAG